TAAAAGTTAAGGTCAAATTAAGGTCAAAGAGTAAAATAGTATCGTTTCTCTAATAAATAAAAGTCTGAGCATCCACTTGGTTTGGAAAACAACAAAATTCAATATTTCAAGGTGGGAAAGGACAATAAAACATCTTGAATCTGTTGTTTTGTGGTATTTTTGGTGATAAAATGCGACTAAACTTCTGATATCTGTTAAAACAAATGACTCGGTTATTGCTTAAATTTTCCAAACTTTCAATTAACCGTAAAACTACGAAGGCAAGAAACTTCCACGCAAAAAAGGTGCCAGGATCTTAATTATGCTCTAAAAGGGACCATTAACTAATTTACTCATCTTAATTTACTAAAAGATGGAAAAAATACGTTTTTTTTTTAAACAAGATTTTAATCTAAGATATTAAACCATAAAGGAAAATATATACATAAACATGTTAAAATTGTTGGGTCTAGTGTTAAAAAAACACGAAGCGCAGTTTGTACGAACACGTTCGCATGAAAAATCTCATGTTTCTCATAACGTCTTTCCTGTGCCAACCCATTTTCAGCATCTGTATTCAGTATTTAATTGAAAAAAGAATTTAGTAAATGTATTTTTATCTGATTATGATAAAGGCATGTGATAAAAGAAAAGGGGATTCTTAGTTAAAAGCGATGCTGTCGTCCAACCAGCTCCGTTTAAGACGTGTTTACAGATTAATCCACATAATTCAATAAAGCACTTGAGTTCAGCTCAGGCTGATCACTTAGTTCAAAATAACTTTATATACAAAAATAATAATCCTGAAAAAATATAATTAAAACACACGCCGGGAGATGAAGTTGCCTTTGTTTCTAAAATCACCCATTTTAACTTTGAGATCTCATTTTTACTCATTTGCTTATTTAACTGCTTTAAATTAAAAGGTGACCTTAAAATAAATCTATTAAATTTTCAAGGAAGAAATGACCCAAATTACAATAAATATACATAAAACAAAAAAAGATAAAATGCTGCTCAAACACTGTTGGACCAGCAGCGTTTCCATAACTTTAATTTTCAGTAGTTTTATTCCAGTAACATGACTTTTGTGCAACAGTTGTAAAAAAATAAAATAAAATAAAACACAGAATGTAAACATAAAACAGTAAAAAGCCACAGATGTAAGGAAACTCATATGTAACAGATGATTAGGATTTTTAGCTAGTTATAAAAAAGGATTTGTTTTTCTTTTAATAGTATTAATATATATAATTTTTTAACCTCTAGTACATCTTGTTGTAATTTAATAATTAAATTTTATTATTCACAAGCGGGTTGAAAACAAACATTTAACCGCTCTAATTAGGAATACTAGTAGTTAGCAACAGGCGATTACTTTAGAAATGCTAGCTAACGGTTACTTTGTAGTTTTAAAAATAAAATAAAAAAGTAAAAGTAGACTAGAAAGGTTTATTAAAAATCTATAAATTAAAACAGGAATGCAAGTTGGAGACGTTTATCAAATAAACCTGAAATGCTAGCAGCTAGCGTAAGAATGAAAACGCTAAAGCTAACGTAATTAGCTGCAGCGAGTTGTAAACGGGCCCACTTGCAAATGTTAAACAGTTTAACTTCAGTTAATAATTCGGAGTACAAACTAAAACCTTGATGTTTTTTAAAGATCCACTTTAACAAAGGAAAATAACATTAATATTCACAGTTAGTTTTCTCCCGCAACAAATCCAACAAGTCTATTTTACATAAAAAGACGGAACCAGGCTAGCAAACAAAGGCAACTTCTCCCCGTCACATATAAATACACAACTAGTAGAGTTAAAAACATTAAACAGTAACAAACAATAAATAAATTAAGAAAAGTCCCTTCACTGAGGTATAAGAGAATCATGAAAATGTACTTTGGTGTGAGTGTGCAAATATTAGAAAGCAATTCTTCCATTTAAAAAGGTAAAAGGTAAAAAACAAGTAGTTTAAGGGTCATAAACATCCTGATGCATGCTCAATAATCCAGGTAGAAAAATAAGTTCAGTCAGGTCCTCTGAACGGATTAAAAAAATATATATTTTTTTTAATTTGTTGAAACGTTTCGTCTTTTATCCAAGACTTTGTCAGACTAGGCCTGTCACGATGATAAATTTTGCTGGGCGATTAATTGTCTCAGAAATTATTGCGATATACGATAATATTGTTTGAAATTTGACAATAATTACTAATTATTGTCAAATTTGAGAAGAAATGTTTGTTTTGTTTTGCATGTAGTACATTTTTTTTTACCATTGGATGGCAGTACAAGATTGTTTGAACAGGTGGATGGATAGTGAGGGAGTGAGCAGCGTCTCTTTAAGAAAAATGGGCGGGAGGCCCCATGACGTGACATGGGCTGTCTCTCTTCGGTTCTCAAAATGGCGGACGCTCGGTGTGCTTTGAGCTCTTTAGCATTTTTCACACAAAGCTTTTAATAAAATTAAAAAAAAATCAGTAAACAAGTTCTCAGCTTCTTTTTGCAGAGAAAAACAACTTTTCACACAAAGGCACGAGTTTTAACCGTGAATTTTGGAGCTTTGATAAGACGGAGGATAAGTTGTTCACGTGTAAAAAGGAGGACCATCAGTCTAACGACCGAACGTTTCTACCGCACTCTACCGCACTCTACCGCACTCTACCGCACTCTACCGTACTACTAGAAATAAACAGCTAGTTCTGGATGTCATCAGCAAACTGGTTGATCCACTATGAGAAAGTGCTATTTATAAGACTAAGTTTGTTGCAGCTCCTCAGACTGACGAAGTCTTGGATAAAAGATGAAACGCTTCAACAATTTAAAAACATTTTTTAAATTTTTGAATCTGTCCAGAGGACCTGACTTACATCCCTTCATGCCCATCTGTCTATTTTATTCATCTGTAATTTCATTTGTAACCGTAATAGTTTTAATAAGTAAGATGTCAAAGTTTTGGACTTTAACTAAACACAGTATTGAAAAAAATGAATGAATAGGAGTAAAAACGTAATAAAATGTACAGACTTCTGTTTGAGGGGAACAAACTCTTAGTACGTCATGACGGTTTGTATCAACTTGGACTTGTTAGATTGATGAACGTTTGACTATTTTTTGGTTTCTTGTAAAGCTAAAAGTCTTAGTGGTTAAATTTTAAAGCAATATTTTGTGTTTTGGATGATAATGTTGCGCTCAGGTGGCTGATCTGAAACGAAAAATGAAAAGATAAATTGTCTTTTGTTGTTTATATCAGTTTGGGTTGGTCCATCATCTCCAGTAGCTTTTAAACATTTTAAAAAAGCATTTTTCAATAAATTGTACTTAAACATAAATAAATTTAACTAAAATGTAAAGTTTTTTTTGTTTTACATCTCATAGAAATCTTTCTTTAAGTTTTACCTGAGGATATTTTGTCAAATCCATTTTAAGTTCTTTATTCAGGCCATGATTTGAGGCATTTCCTCCTTTTGTTTTCCACCTAATATTTTCTCTTAGATCATTTAATCCATTGAATTCGACACTCCATCACTTAAATTTGATTGAAAAGCTGCTACAAAGTCACACTTTTTGAAAATACTTGTATTTTAACATATTTTTGTCATATTTTATTGAGAAATAAACTTTTTCAAGAGGAAAAAAGGAACTGGATGAACTGCAAATGCAACTTTTTGTAGCTTGAATAATTCATTTCAGCATGCAGCTGCAGGTTATTATAAATATGGACGCTGGGTTTTACATAATCAAGCATTTAGGTGTAGTTATTGGACTTCTGCTTCTTGAATTTATGATTTTTTTTGTAGGGATGCACGATATTATCGGCTTGGTATCGGTATCGGCCGATATTAGCGATAAAGTTAAATATCGGACATCGGCCAATCCATCAACTCATCGATATAAAAGGCGCTGTTATGACATCCCGTGTTGTTGAGTTTAGATTTGTGAAAATTTACAAATATGCACTGTTCGAGTGTTATTGTGTTAGAGAGAATAAACGTCATAAATAAAATTGACATTAAACATAATCCAAGTTGAAGTGTTTCATCATTTTCAGCCCCTGCATTTGGCATCAGACCAAACTGACACAGATCACGCAGAATAATGTAGGATTTTAATTCCACAGCAGAGAACGCTATGTAGTCTCCGCAAGTGAGTCTAGGGGAAAAATATCGGTATTGGGTATCGGTCAAATAAGTTAAAACATATCGATATATCGGATATCGGACAAAAATCCAATATCGTGCATCCCTACTTTTTTTTAGTTTTAAGGCGTTCTTTCCATGATTAAAACGTAAAATAGACGGCAGGGGACACCAAAGAGCAACAACATGTCCAAATCAGTGACCACAGGTTAAGTCTGCCGTGGTTTAGGTACCGTAAGGTGCTCCGAGTCAAAGAATGACCACGTGACGGTGCGTCTGTTCCTCCAGCTCAACATGACAGGTCGACGGCATGTTTACTGTAATCGGATTTAAGCGTGCAGTTACTGTTTTACAACTAATTTAAAGCAACGTAAACATAAATCCCCATAAAGGTTTAAAACCGGAGTCTGTTTGGGCGTTTAGAGGTTTGCTGTAACTCAATAATAATAATAATAATCAGCAGGTAAACATGAAAACTGCTGTATTCAGCCTTTCAGCTGAAATATTCCTGTTTGGTTCTTACGAGTGTCTACATGCACTTCGACCTCCATATTAGCATCCGGAGAGCTCTACGGACGCTGTATCCAACACTAACCCAAAGTTTTGTGCTGGAAAACAGTTTGAAACCATTTTCAAACCGCAGCGTCCACAAACTTTGCCATAAATATGAAATAACTGAGTGCTGCTGGTAAAAGATCTGCAGATCTGGATGCAACGAGGCCGGAGATCTTCTCTTGTCACAAGAAAGTCCGTGAAAAGGTTTTCATGAGCTCCAAGTCGGACTCGGTGTGGAGGCGCCGGAGGGTAAAATCCATTCACTCGTTCATCTGATAAATACAAACACTCTGCCTTCATCCTCAGGTCAAAGGTCAGACCCTTTTAGGCGGTAAAGTCACGTTCTCACACACGCACACTGTTTAGTTTTTTTTTTTTTTAGCTCACAAGTCGCAGATCAGACGTCGTAGTCGGGCAGAGCGGAGTAGATGATGCCTCCGACCGACGGGGGGGTGGAGTGGAGGGGCAGCAGCCAGCTGAAGACCGAGCCTGAAGGAGCAGAGAGGCGTGAAAACAAACCGTTTGAGCTGAAACGTCCGGGCGGCTAACGCAAACCCACCTCGTCCGAAGACCTCCCGCAGCAGAGCCAGCTTCGGCTTCCGGGTGTGTGGGAGGTGGAGGGGCTGCTGCGAGGAGGAGGAGGAGCTTCTGTCCTTCATCATCAGCCGGTTCTTCATCTGCTCGATGGGAGTCTCGTCTGTGATGATGGAGATCAGCTGAGGAAAAACACGGAAGCTGTCAGAGCAGATCACGATGTCGTCTTTTAACAACTTTTCACGTTTTTAGTCAGAAGATTTGTGTTTTTTTGTTTTAAACAAAAGCTTCTCTCCTCTCTCGGATCCTCTGTTTTTATTAAATATCCGACAAATAAACAGAGCGACCAACACAAACTTAGCCGAGACGCTTCGGATCCATAAACGCACCTGGATGACGTCTGGCAGCTGGAAGTCTTTACTAACAACAAGCTCCTACCTGGTCGTAGAAGATGACCATGACAAACACCCCGAACAGCACCGACTCCACCAGGAGGATGATGTAATGAGCTCTGAGGCAGAAACAACAACACAAGTCACAGAGACAGGAGCTTCAACAGATTCCAGGTGGACTCCCCGCCCTCGCTCTGAACTCACACGATCAGATGTTTGCTGGGCGTCTCCTCGCCTTCTTTCTCTGCGTCTCCTTCCCTCTCCATCCGCATCCTCCACACCCAGGCCCACACCACCAGGACCATGGAGTACAGGCTGGCCATCCCTGCAACCAGAACAGCAGAGCTTGGGTTGGAGTGCAGACCACAGCAGCAGATCAATCTGCTTCAGGAGTTATGTTAGTGTTTTAAAGGTTTATTGACACGATGAGGTTCCCAGCTTGTGGTTCCTGCAATCGAGGTGGCCGGCTGAGAGCTTTAAATTTATTTGAGGAGAGTCGCAGCGTGTTTGCTTCTACGTTGGAACACCTTCTGTTTGATGCTGCAGCAGCTGGAAGACAGGCTGAGTGAGACACCTGGACCCAGTGGCTCCTCCTGGGATAAATGGAGCTCTTTTCTTCATATAGAGCTTATTCTATTTTCAACACATCATAGCAGAGCCCGATTGATACGTTGACAGGGCCGATATTTTAGGTCGATATAGGTGCTTGGGAATATATTGGTGATAATTCCCCCATTATGCACAGATGTCTCTGGGCAGCACGTCTCATCCCCAAAATGTCCCCCGGGCGCTTTCAATAGCTGCCCACTGCACCACCTGGTGGTGGATGGGTTAAATGCAGAGACTAATTTCGCCATTGTATGGAAACATACAGTGCTGACATTGTGATGACATTATTATTATTATTATATAAACATTGGGAACAAGCCGTGTCCTTACTTGCACAAGATGCAACTGTACAATGTATCCAGCAGAGGGCGCATGAAGACTACTTTCAAGTCAAGGCCGTTCACTTAAGTTTCACTTTCAGCGCAGCCGAAGCAGCGAGCAATGCTGTGTAGGCCTGTCGCGATAAACAATAAATCAATTAATTGCATAATAAATTAAAATTATCGACCTCATTTTCATTTCATCGGCTTTATCGTTTCTTTGCGTCTCTTTCTACTGAAGACACTGGATGACAAAAGGTTCAACTCTGGTGCTCTTCACTGACCCCTCCCTTTCTCTTTAAAATCTGTTTTAACGATCCAAAAATCACGTTTTTGGATCGTTAAAAGCAGCTCAGCTGAGAAGCTAAGCTAACAGGCCGACATCGTGAAAAAACCTCCGTCTTGTCGAAGCTCCAAAATTCACGGTTGAAACTCGTGTCTTCGTGTAAAAAGTTTTTTTTCTCTGCAAAAAGAAGCGGAGAACTTGTTTACTGATTTTTTTTTTTATTAAAAAGCTTTGTGTGAAAAATGCTAAAGAGCTCAAACCACACCGAGCGTCCGCCATTTTGAGAACTGAAGAGAAACAGCCCATGTCACGTCAAGGGGCCTCCCTCTCATTTTTCTTAAAGAGACACGTTGCTCGCTCCCTCACTATCCATCCTTTCGTTCAAACAGTCTTATACTGCCATCCAGTGGTCGAAAAAAGTACTACACTCAAAACAAATGAACAAACATTCCTTCTTAAATTTGACAATAATTAGTAATTATTGTCAAATTTCAAACAATATTATCGTTTATCGCAATAATTTCTGAGACAATTAATCGCCCAGCAACATTTGTTATAGTGACAGGCCTGATAGTGTGTAGCATATTTTGCTGAACAGAGCATGGCAAGTTTATTTTAACTGATCTGTAAAACAAATCAACAATAATTAATTCTCTTCAATCCTCCAACCTGCTTTTCATTAGGTACGTGCCTCTGAAGTTAGCAAGCTAACATCCTGATGCATGCTCAATAATCCAGGTAGAAAAATCTAAAAAAGTTAAATCTGGTCCTCTGGACATTCAAAAAACAAAAAGCAAAACAACAAAAAACTGTAGAAACGTTTCGTCTTTCATCTGAAGGACTTCCTCAGTCTGAGGTGCTGTATTCAGCTCAGTCTTATAAATAGCACCGTCTCAGAGTGGATCAACCAGTTTGCTGCTGACAACCAAAACCAGCTGCTCACAAGCTAACGTTTAGATAACCGAGCATAGGCTATTACCTTGTAAAACTTTATCCAGAACAATAAATCTAACGTAGCAGTAAAATATTTCAGAGTTAGTAACGTTTTCTTTGTCGTCCTCAATTAAATACATGTTTGTCTGAAATATTTACTTCTCTGCAAAGAAAAACAAACTGCTGAGGTCAATCCTAATTAGACCTTCACCGTACGTGACTGACTGTTTAATGAACAGGAAGGTGTTTCTTTAATTTATATTTTGTAACACACTTGATAACTTTATGGTGAATAGTGGAGGATAGAAAATGTGACCAAACGTTAAGAAGACTGTTTCAAGACTTCAAACATGGTTAAAAGTAGCTGTTTAGAGTCTTGGGGTGGACTAAGCTAAAATATTTTCAGCCAGTATATCGGTTATGAGCATTAGCTTTTCCCGATAATAATCGGTATCGGCAATAGCCAATACTTTCATATCGGTTGGGCTCTGCATCGTAGTTCACACATCCAAACATAAGAACCGTCACTACCGACTAAACCGATGTCACATCCTATAATTTCTTTATTTTGTTAAAATCCAGCGGTCATTGAACAAAATGAGGAGCTCACCCTGGAAAGGTTGGCGTCCATCACAGAACCGTTGTTAAAAAAAAAAGAAACATTATTTTTCCCTTCCTTTGGCGTGTTCCTCCGTTTTCTTTTCTAGCCTTTGAGCTATGATAAAACAGGTGGTGACTTTAACACCTTCAGATGACCAGATATTACCCCCCAACCTGAATAATTATGCTTTGGAGAAAAAAACACAAGGGAAGCCAGAAGCAGGGCTGGTTAACGTGAGCTTAAAACCTTCAAGACCTTTTACAGTCTGAATGCTGCTAAAACTGTTCAGCTTTATTTAGCCTTTTCTCCTCAAGTTGTTCAATCTGAAAGGCTTTGTTTTCTTTATACTTCTAACAAACCAAACAACCGGGTTCGTCTCTCTTTGCAAGTCAAAGTACAACAGACTGAGTACACGCTGCAGTTTTCTGTTTCCTCACCGGTGTAGAAGAGAAACTGGATGAAATACTTCTGGTTCAACTCCCCGACACAGTTGTTGATCCTAGAACGTGAGACAAGTACGATGAGAAGACGTTAAATAAGAAAGAGGGGGGGTTTGGGACTCTTCTCACCAGGGACAGTGATGGTCCATGCGGCGTATGCACCTCTGACAGACCCGGCAGTGGTGCGCTCGGGGAGGTCTGTAAGTTTCACAGCGACTGCAGACCGTCCAGCCCTCACAGCTCTGAAATCACAAACAAGTCAGGGATTCTCAGAGCTTGGAGTGAAGCGTCTTTTCTTTAATTCAAGTTGCTCCGGTCCAGTTCAATTCAAACTGAGGACCAAACCGTTGCACGAATGAACAAAGATCACAACAGCAGTTACACAAGATTAAATAGAAATAAACGGAGATAAACACGTCAAAGCTCATTCGTCTTTACTCTCGCGTCTTAAAAAAACCCGGACAGTCGGGTCCGGAAGGATCGAGGTTTAGACTAAATAAAAACAGAGAAAGTGAACCGACCCGCTCGCTCATCCGAGACGACTGGGAGCGCACATCGGAGAAGTCTATGGCTGTGTCGGGCAGCGGCACCACACCTGCAAACACAAACGTATTCAGACCAAACAAACAAACAAACAAACAAACAAAGTGTGAGCGGTAAATGTTTTTTATTTTCCCGCCTCTTTGCAATCAATCTACTCCTGCAGACTCTGCATCATTCTCACGCTTCATACATGAAAACGTTCGGCTCGTTCAGCTGCTGACACGTCTGCTTCTTGCAGTTTTTATACTTTTTAAAAAAATGAATATAAAATATGTCTCAGTTACAGTTTCTATTTTCATCTTTTTATGCTACTTTTAGCTAAAGTTTTACTTTTATTCACAACTGATTTGATGCAGTCATTAGAAAACAAAAACCTTTTAGCTAGCCTTTTGCTTCTCTTTGCTATTAGCTAGTATTTTTTTAGGGTTTAACTAACAATTTGCTACTTGGAGTCTTGCCTTTACTGCTAGCTAGACATTTTTTTTATAACTTCGTCACTGAACAGTACAAATGCAACTTCGAATAGAAAAAATAAAGTGAGGTAAATAAAGATTAAAGAGAAGAAACAAAAAGCAACAAAAAAGAAAATAATAATAAATAAAATTCAGTCAGTCGCGTTCCTTCGGCGCTCATGAGCGCAGTGTTAGTGGTTTTCCAAGAGATTAAGGTCTTCTACCATCTTGAAGAGATTCACAGGATTTATTTCAAATGTTTCAGTGATGAAAAGAAGAGGCGCAGTTCTCTGTTGCTACCTAGACTTTTTATACTTATAGCTTCTAGCTAGCCATATTTAGTTTCAATTGAGATTTTTGCAACTTCTAGCTAGCTTTGTACAAGTTCTAGCTAGCCTCTTCCTACTTTTAAATAGCCTTTTGCTATTTTAGCTACCTTCCAGCTACTTTAGCTTTAAATTAGCTAGTTGCTACTTTTAGCTTAACTCTCTACTATTAGCTGTTAGCAAGCGTTTTCCTCCCTTTACTTTAGTGTTTTGCTTCTTTTAGCTAACATTGTAGCTATTTTTTTTTTAGCTTTTTAAAAGTGTTTAGCTACTTTTAGCTTTTAGTTAGTGCCCGGCTACTTTGGCATTGACAAACCAGTATCAACATCTTTACAAACTTTTG